AATACCCCACCACCAGTTCGAACAAAAGTTTTCGAGCTGGTGCTGCTTAAGATATATTACGCAAATAAGCTTCTTAAATTTCGAGGTACAAATATAATTTCGAAGATGCAAAGAGGCTTCCCTTTGAAGATAAGACTGAGGCACTGAAATTGGGCGGGCATTCGAAGACGCGAGATACTGCTGTGAGGGTGAGAGAATAGAGAAAAGGGCGATGGAACAGCGAGATGGGCCCAGAAGTATGGCAAAGGCCAGTCTCACACAAGAAGAAGGCAACGCGTTACACCTGGGCTTATGTAGGACCGTAGGCATATGGCCTTTTTTCGACGTACAACGACTGTCGAAAGACGGGTTGTGATTGGGGACTGGTATATTTGTACAAGAAAATGAATCACGAAAAGGAACCAGAACATGAATTTTCCGATTGAAAAGAGAGCTTCTGCCTTGGATGGTTGCGGAATGTGCCATTGAATGTTATCATCTTACCTACAGTTTTTTTTTCTGCGGAAACTCCAACTGTAAGCTGACTGTTTCCCCAAAAACCCACCTGTGGACATTTAAAACAAAGTCGATGATATATGCTGCTGCCAATGACCGTCGGTCCTTTGCTTGTGTAAATCTGCCGCCATAGTGAGCGGATGAGATGGATTTGAGCACATGTGAGCGGAATCAGCGTCGTTGTCGTTTGCCGACCGGACATCTCCTGCACCATCTGAAAGCCAACTGAATAAAATTTCATCACAGCGTAACAATTCACTAATGGGGTGGTGAAGCTGTAACAAGTCTATAAATATCCCAGAGCTTCAATGAATACCTAATTATCAAAAAAGAAAAGAACAGATAGGTGAAAATTCGATGAACATGATTTTGCTTTGAGTAACTCTGGACAGTGACAAGTGGTGCCTCTTGCCAACTAGGTCGTCGGAAGCAGATCTCAAACTCGTCCCCATCCGGGCCAACCAAGCATTCAGTTTCGATAGCGGCAAAAGTGTCAGACTCCTGTGGATTCTGGGCAGAAGTAGAATGCTGCGTTAGCGTATATAAGCGTATCCAGCAAAAGGTGGGTTGTTTTCGGTCGTCAGGGAGGGAGTGGGTCGTAAACCCTGAGGTCGTAAGCTTCTTTGACCTCAGGAATTTTTTTCAACTGCTAATTTTTCTCTGTTCGCACTACCACCTCCTTTTTGCCATCCACTACTTGGCGGCGGTTGGGAATTTTGGTGAGATGGTATGGTGATACGTTGTAGAAGGAGGATCGTGCCAGGACC